CATGGGACCAATGTGTAGGAATTTGCACCGATGGAGCTCCTTCAATGGTTGGTTCTATTAAAGGATTTACAACATTAGCGAAGAAAAAAAATCCTAATATCATATCTACACATTGTTTTTTACACCGAGAATCACTTATTTCGAAAACATTACCTATTACATTAAAGTCTGTATTGGATAAAATTGTAAGCATGGTTAACTACATAAAATCGCGTCCATTACAATCACGCCTATTTAAAAAACTGTGTGAATCAATGGAAGCTCAGCACGTATGTTTACTTTTACATTGTGAAGTAAGATGGTTATCGCGAGGTAAAGTTCTAAATCGAATTCTGGAACTTAAGAATGAATTGTTAATGTTTTTTCAAAACGAAGGTAACACTGTTTTTATATCTTTTCTTACAGACGATATTTGGTGTGTTAAAATGGCATATTTAGCTGATATTTTTAATTATTTAAATAGCGTAAATGCTGGTATGCAAGGTAAAAACGAAAATATCCACGGATAAACTATTAACATTTAAAAAAAAATATCTTTTTGGAGAACGCGTATAATTCAAAAAAATACTGTAGACATGTTTCCTTCAATTAAAAATAATAATGAAATAATTCCTATTATAACAGAACATTTAGCATTATTAGAAGAAAAAATCACGAAATACTTTCCTGAATTAAATATTGAAAAGTATGATTGGATACGAAATCCATTTTCTACCATCAACACGTCAAGTTATGAATTACGTTAGAAGAAGAGGAAGAATTCATAACGCTAACAACAGATCGAACTCTAAAAATAAAATTTTCCGAAATAACAGTAGAAGAATTTTGGATTTCAGTTCAAACCAAATTAAAAAAAATTTCTGAAAAAGCAATTTCAATATTATTACAATTTTCAACCTCATACTTATGTGAGCTTGGATTTTCAACACTGACGAATATCAAAACAAAGAAACGAGAAAGGCTGACAAATATTGAAAAGGAAATGAGAGTAGCAATATCGTACATACGGCCAGATATTGAAAATATCTGTAAAAATCATCAGGCACAAATATCTCATACGAAGTATTCAATTTCAAATTTTTAAATTTTTTTTAACTCTTTTTATTATTTTATTATTTTTTAGTGACTAACACTAACATGTATGACATGCAAACAATTTTATGCTATACATTCATTGTTTAATATATTAAAAAATTAAAAATGTATGTACTACTATTTTATTTTACGGTTGTGTTCCGCGAAAATCTTGTAAAATGTTAAGTGTTCCGTCATTCGAAAAAGGTTAAGAACCACTGGTCTAATATTATGTCAACATACAGTCGAATACAAGATCCGGTTATTTAATTATATGCATCTAAATTAATTATTTACAAACGAAGATCTTTTAAATTTTCGAAGACATCAGCAAGTATACCATACCAAGGTATATCAGTTATTATGTATAAATCACCATGTTCATCCAACGTCTTAATTTTTATTTTTTTCTATACATTTATAGTATGCATATATAGTATATTTCATCATTTTGGAAGTTCTGAAGTATCTTCACTATGTTTACAAACACTTAATATAAAATAAAATTAAAAAAATTGTGTCTTAATAGATAAAACTAATAATAATAACTAAACTAATTAACTTAATTAAGATTAATATTTATTTATTATCGTACAACGAATTCAAAATTTCGTTTAAAAAAAGTATAAATAATTATTTAATTTAACTCATATATTAAATAATGATTCCATTGAGAAAGAAAACAATTCTAATATTAATTTTGATCAAAAATGTCCGTTGTGTTAAACATTAAACGTATTTTGTATGTATACGTGTATGCACCTATAACTCTTTAAGAACAGGTTTATTATTTAAGAATAAAAAGCAGTTACAATCTGTCAAATTGATTAATCGTTCAACAAAATTATCTAAAAAATCAAAAGTATCAAAAATAAAACTTGAAAAACAAAGACTTAATTTGAAGGAAAAAAACGCTTTAAGTGGTATTTTAGATACCGATTCAAATTTTATTACATACTTGAAAATAAACAAATATTTAAAAATTCGTGTAATGGTGAAATATGAATTGGGGTTTAGCAAACGGATGTATATCTATTAGCTAAATATCTATCCGAGAAATTAATTTTCATTGATAGTACCTAATACAGAAGTTTCACCAACAGTAAAATCGTCAAATAACGGTTAATCAGGGCTGGATTATGGTCATAATATAAGGGGGTTATTAGGTACTTTTGGTAAGGCTAAATGTGGATTTAATTTTTTTATAGGCACTAAAAACTTTCCGCTCCAATTATTAAATATTTGAGTTGGGGGAGTACTCGACTTTGGAAAAATTGTTGAGACAAGTTCGAGTACTCATATTGATTCGACTAAACAGTGTTTTGTAATCGTAGATGGAGTACCACTTTGATTAACTTAATTTTATTTTATTAAAAACAGTGTTTTCCTCAGGGATAAATTTTTAAATTCACTTGATCTGTCAGACATGCCTCATGTTCTAACATTGAATATTTACCTACCCGCCATTTATTATGAAACATCAATCCACCACCACTCTGTAATGGTACCAGGCTTTCAATGAAAAAGTTGATGATCTAAAATAAATCGAAAATTGTTGTAAGGATATTAGTATATGTTTAAATTTAGTAAATGGTACAGCAAAAGGTGATACAGTAGCGGCGTGACGGCAGATTTTCGAGTCCCTGGACTCAAGTCATTGGGTAGGTAGGTAGGTGGGTATTGACTATTGGGTATCGAGTGGGTATGTAGCATGTAGAACGAATATTGGGGGGAGTTCTTTTTACAAGCTACCCTTAAATTTCTTTTTAGGTGGGTGGGTGGGTGGGCAAAATCCTAACAGGATTCATGAAGTAAAATATTTTGCGCCGCCACTGACGTGATAAGCATGGCTATATTTAATATTTACCTTTTACACAACAATTTATTTTTTCTACCGTTATTTCGGGTGACTTATACTTAAAAAAGCATACCTTCTACGGTAAATAGCATCTAAAAGTAGTTGAACGCTTACAATTTTTTTAACGGTCAACGTCGGATACCACTTACTCATTGAGTAAGCTACATGAAATTTCACATGGTGGTCTCTCCAATACTAAATACTTGCAATAAGAAGAGTTTTTAAAAAACCACCATACCGATTCATTTGAAGTTTCGTTTTATTTATTTTATGAACAACAGTTACACCAAACTTGGCTTTAAATAGTGTAAGGTAATAATACATTAAACTTTATGCTCTGGCTAAGAATTTTTCGTGCGAAACCGGGTAATTGGGCTAGTTGTCAATAAATCGCGTTCAAATTGTTATTAATATGTACCAATATGTGTTACTTTTCTAGATATATAGTGTACCCAAACGGTGTATTAATTTGTATCCAAACGTGTTGCATTTAGGGTCTATTGTACCCAAACGTGTTACGGCTCCCGATTGGTAACTACCACCACCCAACAACACACGCTAAACACCAGCCGTCACTTGTAATTATTATTCAGTTTTTGTCATGCCACTACTTCGAGTCTGGTGTTACGGTTAAATTAATTTTTTTATATTGTATCTTGTTTATCGTTTTACAGCTTTAGTTTAACAGTAATACACGTATTTACAAAAAAAATTAATAGTTTTGTTTTAGTGTAAATAAATTGTAACAAACAGTTTATATTAAATGTTGTAAAAATAATTCGACTTTAAGGTAATTAAATATTTAAATATAAATACTATTTTATTGCATAATATTATGTTATTATACTATATTGTTGAATTCGATGTTCGATGAATAATATACTCTAGGGTTGAGTATTTGACTTTGGAAACATTATCGTGTCAATTTCGAATACTTGACTCGATTTACTAAAAAAATGTAGTAGATACTCGTAAATGTGAGTGTTCGACTTTTTTTTTTTAATACTCGACATAATTTGAGCACCTATTTGAGTTTTGAAATTGGCTCAACTGAAAATAATTGAAACTCGACATAAAAAACGATACTCGTCCAACACTGTTAAATATAATAGTAGGTATCTTAATCCAATTGAATTTCTGACAATATTTTTTCTCGCTTGTAATTATTTAACCTACTTCTGAAAAATGTCTATAGATGTCCACTAATTTCAATGAAAACTTTCAGTGATAATTTTTATGTACTACCATTATTAAAACCATTGTTTGAACAATTAAGTAAATAAAACATAATTTTTCGTATATATAAAATAAGGAATTTTTTCATTTATTTTTTTTTTAATGAATAATAAATAAATGTAATGAATGATGTATTTTAATAAACACTACAACATTTATCACCCCTTACATTTTACCGCCTTAAGCAGTTGTTTATTGGAAAATCCGCCTCTGGGTGGGATCCTTTCACTATAACATTTTTTTATTCAGCTTTAGTAATTTATTATAAATATTAATTGAAATAAGTATAGTATATTCATATGTTGTAGTACAGCCGCAATAAATTGATAAAACAAGGCATTAAATCTGTTAGCCAAAGATTATAAAAAAAAAACACATGATGGCCGCCCCTTTCAAATTGCGTCCTGGAGCTATAGTCCACTTAGCCACCCCTTTGATTCAACCCTACGGTCAATCGTTCTTTATTGCTCGGACTCAATTAGGAATTAATGGTAGAGAAGTTTATAGATTTGAGTTCGCAGAACAACTAGTCAAAGTTAAACACCTAAGCATAGCAACAAGTTACTGAAAGCGAATTGGCCAGTATTATCGCAGTGGTTTGGAAATTTGAATATCAAAAACATAATTTACAATAATAATGCTGTAATACACTTAATATTGTTAACATTTTTAATCGTTATGCCGTATTCAAATGAACAGTATTATTTTACGCTGAAAAGATTTGTTCTCCGAATCGGAAACGCGACGGCGGGCTGAAAACGATTGAGTTTCTGTAGAACGCGCCATCTACCGGCGACGATTGTCCGCGCGCTCTACTCCCCCGCACACGCGAAATCCGCAGATGGTCCGCTCCCCACCCACCACCACCACAGCGGTCTCTCACACCGATCACTGCCCTATAGTACCGCTGTCCGCTCTGGTTATGTGCGCACGCTCAGCACTTATCTCCGCGTTCGCTTGCTCTTAGCGTGCGGAAGAGAGAGTATATAGTACCCGCGTTACGTGCAGCGCGACGTCGACGACGACTACCTCGACAACATCAACAACAACAGCGACGGCGATAACGACAACGGTACATCATAACAACAACAACAACAACGCGTATCAACGTCGCGCGCGTCTTCCCCGTTTGTGCGTTCCAGCGGCGGTCAGTCCGTCGTAGCACAACATTGGACCCATTCGCACGCACGCGCGTTAGCGACCGCACTCCATAACAATAACAACAACGCTCAAACTACGGCGCAGATACCGTGTGCAAACCGCGACCACCGATCGCCGGCGTGCGGCCGTTTCGTGACGGACAACACCCGCGCGGTGCCGGAACGATGTGCGCCCATCGCAGGTCCGCGTAACCGATACGGATGTGCCGTCATTTCCCCGTCGACTCGTAACACGCGCGCGCGCTCTTCCCCGCGTACGATGACGTTCTCATCATCACCGCCACCATCGTCGTCGTCGTCGTCGTGACGGCGCTTGGTACTACGACCGCGGGTTTCTTCTCGCTCCTTTTCATCTCGCCGGACGTCCTCGACATTCCGCGCAAACGGGATGGAAGTCGACCAGCCGACAGTATTCGTCTCCACCGCCGTTGCAGTTACTTTCACGGTGCACCGATCCTGATCCATCCCGTCCAACTGGCCGTGGAGCCTTCTGCAGTAAGTGTTTTTAGGATCACTAGGTTTTCCTATCATCTGTCCAGTTACGTAACTCAAATCTAGTGAGGGCCATCAGTTGAACCGACCATGTCCTTTGTGCCTCTAGTTGTATATCTGTATTCCAATACCTTTTGATCAGTTGAAAGTTCCCCCTCCATTTTTACTTTTTTTTATGTCATTCTTGCTCCTCTTGGTATCTGGCATAGCATTGATCATTTTCGATCTGACACATCGTGTTTTTGCATTTTAAGGTTTTACTCAGAACCTTAAACAATCTCGGATCACCTTTCAAACATCTGTATTGTTAATCCTACAACTCTACAGCTCCTTTTTCATTATTCTTTTGTATTCTTCATCCTTTTCGCTGAATATCGTAATAGTCTACAGTTATTTTGGTACTATGTTTCACCTACATTTGTAGAAGTCACTTCTTACTGTGTAATTGGTTAGCAGTAATTTAATAAGATTATTTATACATTAATATTTTTAAAATGCCCAAAATTTTTCAAAAAATAATAATAACTAACGCTCTTAGGATTTAGAGTATATAGGTTACTTGACCTAATAAATGGGTTTTTATAATCTCAAATGAGATATTTGCTTAAGAGTTCAAAATTGTTATTTTTTATAATTACCTTGTGGCTTGTCAAATAATTTTCTGTTTATTTTTCTATGAACAAAAATTACTTGTTTAAAGTACTTATAATTAAATATATGTATGAATATTTTTTTTAATCTAGTTTTAAGCCTAAATATTTATATTAAAATCGATGTCAGATGGTGTAAATTAATAAAATAATAATAATAATAATATTTCTCTTTTAAAAATAAAATTACCTAATTATTTATTGAATATTCGTATCATCAATACAAAAATTACAAAATTTCAAGACTACCTATATAGGTAATATATTCTACCTTTATGCCTTTACCTTTATGTGTACGAAATCTTTTTAAAATCCAGTTATTGTTAATATTTATTTGCATAATTGAATTACTAATTAGTCTCCTTCCTTTTATATCATATTCTTAGGTTGTGGTTTTTATTTATATGAGGCCATTAAAAAAATTAAAAAAATTGTATTGATAAAGTTAACATGTTTTATGACATATTTGTAGTCTATTTTTCTGATATAAAATTTTTTAAATAAATGAAAATGATGCATTATATTGATTATAAGCTTAAAGTATTTAATAAGTTTGATGTACTGAGTTACGTATTTAATAATTTTAATAATCTTTTCTTTTTTCTTTCGTCTAAATAATTTTTTATGTTTCTATGAAATGAATTCATATTTCATGTAGTTACATAAGTGATTTTCTCTTTTGATAATCTAATTACCTTATTAAAATGTATTCATACTATCATTAAAAACAAATTTCAATATTATTATCAATTAGTTATTCAACCAATTCTTTCTCATTTTTTAAATATTAGACCTATTCTTATTTAAAGTCATACTATTAGCAAAATAAATTGTTTGGGCTGTGACTGAAATTCATTCAATCTTTTGTACTTATATCACATCACAATCCAGATTGTCATAGGGAAAACCTCATTACCAATATTTTTAAAACTCAAGATTCATCTTTTTAATTAGAAATAATATTTAGATACTACTTTTTATCGATTGCTCTGAAATGGTAAAAGTAATAAGTGTATAGACAGAATTTGGAGAGGAGCACAAGGGGGCAAACTTAACATTTTGCCCTTCCTAAGTTAATGTGAGTAGATTTTTAAATTGGTCAGTAAATTATGATTCATTTTTGCCCCCTCCCCCCACGATATTAAGAGCCAATGAATAATTGGACATATAAAATAATTTGTTTTTCATTTGTAAGCAAATAGTTTTTGTAAAATTAATTTAAAAATCAAATAATATAGTTATAACTGTAGTTATGTATGTACAGAATACTGAATAGTGTATACTTATATTCTTTCATTTTTATTTATTTTACTTTGATAAATTTAATTTTTTTATGATCTTAAATGTTTATATTCTTGGAATACTTATTTTTATTTCAAAGATGTGTGTAGCAAATTATTTAAATAATCTTTTATAATTTGATGTATTATATTTCTATGCTGACTTTATGGTTTCTCATAATAGGTCGATAAATTCTATGCTCAAGAGTTTTAGGAAATTATTATATTTAATTTTGAAAAAAATTTATTTTTTTTATCTGGTTCAGTCTTCTAAGCAATAAATATTTATCATTAATATTAGGTACAACTTAAAATTAATAGTTTATTTCATTGCAAAATATATTATTATTTATTATTCATTAAAATCATTTTTTTTAATTTTTTCAGGGGGGATGTTGTCTATGTGTAATCTTTTGTATTGAAAGTTATATGTCAATAATATTTGTTTAATGATATTTTATACTGTAATATAAACCTCCAGTGTACTATATGAATTTTTTTTCTTTACATAATAGGGCTTCAATTTGTTGTATATCAGTAGGCTTAATATTTCTGTTAATAAAAAATTGCTATGATTAGATGTTATGGATATTACATAAATTACAGTATTCAGTTATAACTTGTTTAAAAAAAAATTATAATATTTGTATATTACATAATAAAAACCTCAAAACAAAATTTAATACTACTAATAATTATTATTAATGCTAAAATATTATTATTATCAAAGATTAAAACTAACCAATACTGTTATATTTCCACTAAAAAATAAACTTGTTTTATAATTCTTCCTATGTTTATTATTACAGAAGACAACTTCACTGTTTAATAGTATCAAAATGGCTTCTCAAGTTGATTACCAATGGTAAGATATATTATTATTTTTCAGAAAAAAAAAATTATTTTATCTTTAAATTAAACCATTATTTTTCAGGGCCTACACAATAATGGATTCATCGCGAGTATCAACGTTTTTGATATCCATTCTATTGATTGTTTATGGCAGTTTCAGGTTTATAAATATATAATATATTTACACTATTTTCTTCTAGTTTTTAAGTATTATACATTATTATATTTGTTTTAATTGTATTCAATATATGTTAGGTCATTAAATATGGAACAAGAAGCTCGAGAAAGAGAAAAAGAAAAATCTAAGAATTCTAACGGAAGCTCTGTGTGCTTAACAGATATTAGTAAGCGAAAACAAGGTTAACATGTTTTCAAATAATTTTACTTCAGTATTTTACAGCATATAGTGTCCATAAAATGTAACAAATATTTCATTTATCATTCTATCTTAAAATTAATTTTAACATACACTTAAATTGTATGATCTTATTTTTCAAGTTTTGAAGTCCTCTGTTTGTGTTCCCTGCCACAATATTAATTTAAAAGTATATCTTATTTTAATACTTTAAATTTAAATGATGATAAAATTTATATTACTAATATTTTATTAGTTTTTGAGTATTAATAGCAAACAAACAAATTTTTCGTTACAATTTTCTCATTTGTAGACAACTGATATTAATTATTAACTTATATATTACCCCTTAATTTAATTAAATAAAACAAAAACATTTGTGGTGACTTGTGCCCATTTTCCTATACTAATAAATTTGATTTTTTGGATTAATCATTTTTTAGACACTATGCACATAGAAACTGATGGTATTGTTTTGTTAATAAATTATTTTACCAATTTATAGTAATATTCTTGTAATTAATAATTTAATTTTTAATTTTATTAGATGTTCAGACCTTGGATACAATGCAAGCATTGTGTTTACCACTAGGAGCTTCTATATCACTGTTAGTTATGTTTTTCTTTTTTGATTCCATGCAAATGTTATTTGCAATATGCACTGCAAGTGAGTTGATAGTTAATTTTAATAGTATATATTTACGAATTAGTTGTATTGTTTTTAATGTTTATATTTTGTGTGTATTTTAATAAGTTTTCAATTTTAAAATAAAGCAATTGAGTTTAATTAATATAAAATTATTGATTTGTAACTCATAACATTGGATACTCTATTATGCTATTTGCAGCATATATTAATTTATACATTTCTTTCTTTCTAGTAATTGCTACAGTTGCTTTAGCATTTCTCCTGTTACCCATGTGTCAGTACATTATTAATCCTTGCTCGGACGGAAACAAGTAAATATATTAATATTTGTACTAATTTTGTTCTATAAAACTAATAATTTTCATTCGTTTAGGATCTCATTTGGTATATGTGGTCGTTTTACTACTGCAGAGCTTCTGTCTTTTTCAATGGCATTGTTTATAGTTTGTATTTGGGTACTAACAGGACACTGGCTGTTAATGGATGGTAAGTATTTAATAATTTTTTAAAATTTGATTTTAATTTAAAAAAGTTTATTGAAGATTTTAATTTTCTTAAATTTCATTGTATTGTGATTCCACCATATTATATTAAACCAAAATCTGAACTAATTATTATGAATCTATGTTTAGATAATCACAAAACTTTTGATTTTAAAATAATAAAGTATATTACAAATTCCATAAAATTTTAGTTAGATTGATACATAAACAAATATTATAAAGTGTTTATAAATATTAAAATAACTTTAAACATTATCTTTTATTTAATGAACCAGTTATAGTCCATAGTATTTATTTATATAATAAATGTGTAGAATTCTGAGTTTTATAAAATTATTTATTGTATGTCCACAATCTGCTAAATTACTTTTAATTCAATGTACTTCAATATTTATTAGAAAAATTGAATTTTATGATTTCATTTATATTTTTTTTAGTGTTAGAATATTTTTCAAATCTGTTCTAAATTATATTAAATATTTTTTAATTCAATTTTTTAGCTATGGGAATGGGACTTTGTGTAGCATTTATTGCCTTTGTTCGACTTCCTAGTCTAAAAGTGTCCACTCTATTACTAACTGGACTATTGATCTACGATGTTTTCTGGGTGTTTTTCTCATCATATATATTTAACACCAATGTCATGGTCAAAGTAAGTTTTTATTTTATTAATTAAAAATACCCATTATTATTAAAAATTATACTAATTATGAGTATTAATTGAAATAGGTAGCAACTCGATCAGCAGAAAATCCTGTTGGTGTGGTCGCTAGAAAATTACATATTGGTGGAGTTGCTAAAGAAGTTCCAAGATTATCTCTTCCTGGAAAATTAGTGTTTCCAAGTATTCATAATGGGCGATTTTCAATGCTTGGACTTGGTGATATTGTGAGTTATCTTATGTTAATGAAGCTAATTGCTAAATTTTACAACTATAAATCTAATTATGTTTTTATTTTAGTTAGTTACTAAATCATTATTTAGTATGTTAAGTACAAAATATAAATTTGCAAATTTATTTTTTTGGAATTATACCCCTATAAGCTATTATCACCAACTATGTTTTCATTTCAAGGGTAGTTAATGGAAAGCGTTTTATTAAAAAATTCTGATTTTACAATTATACATATTTATGGCTTACTGAATAGTAAATAATAAGAAAATAAGAAATATATTAAACATGTAACCAACACATAGTTATCTCTTCATTTTAATTGTATGAATAAAATGCCAATAAAGTTTTTTTTTCTTAGGTTATGCCTGGTCTGTTACTCTGCTTTGTAATGCGTTATGATGCATATAAAAAATCTCAGCTTTTACATTTTGGAGAAACTGGTGTTCCACCTCCAAGACATCTCAGTAAAATAAGGTAAAAGTCAAATTATACTATTAAACCAAAATTTTTGATTACAATCATTATATTATCATTTATTTGTTTATAGTTACTTCCACTGTTCACTAATTGGATATTTCTTGGGCCTAGTTACTGCAACTGTATCTTCAGAGGTTTTTAAAGCTGCTCAGCCAGCGCTACTCTATTTAGTTCCATTTACACTGTTGCCTCTTCTCACAATGGCTTATCTAAAGGTAATACTTATCCTGATTTGGGTATCGGTTTTAGATTAATAGCAATTATTGATTTTATCAAATTATTGATTTTATCAAATTATTGATTTTATCAAATTATTGATTATTTAGGGTGATTTAAGAAGAATGTGGAGTGAACCATTCATAATACAACAGCCTTCCAAACATATGGACGTATAGTCTGTGGTAGCATTTACTATTATTACGTAAATTTAATTTTAGGATCATTTTTGTACAAATTTCTCCTATGATTATTTTTTTAGATATATGTAGAGTACACCCATTTACTTGAAGGGTATAAAAAGTACGATGATAGATCTTATGTTTTTCTGAAAATTTAGTTATACTTTTATTTTTAGTTCTTCTCCAAACCAAATTTTATTTCTAAATATATTTTAATTTACATTTTTGAATAGAAAAAAAAATTGCTGATCAAATATATTTATACAAATATTTTCTTTGAAAATACATAATTTTATTCGAGTGGTCCTGTTAGTTTTTCTTGAAAATGACAAAAAATAAACTAATTTTATCATTGTATCCTCATATCAATTATTAGTGCTCTTAAAGTTGTACGTTTTCAGAAAATTAAGTGATCTATTTATTATATTAAATGTTATCAAAGTATTCAGCAAAGAATAATTATTTAAAAATATGTTTTATATTAATATTTTTCTATGTATAAATTTGTTTTGTTTGATTTTATATTATTCACTTATATGCAAACAAGCTAATTGAATGAAAATGTTGTGAGAAACCGATCTTTAGATTTGCTTACTTTAAAAAGTTTTAAAATTGTGGAGAGTTATTGCTTATGCAAAAAACAACTATTGTTATGTCTGCAATCTTCAGTGCATTTAATGTTATTTACTTATGCGATAAGAATAGGACTTGACAAGAGTTTGCTATTGGATTAAATGAACGACGAGAAGTTTACCTAAGACTGATTTATTTGTATTTTTATCTTTTCTTGTAATATTACTTGTATTATCCTTGAGCAAAATACCGAACTTGTATTATCTAAAATGTGTTTATTACTAATCATTATAATAAGCTTCATAATATCTCACCAAATTTAGTTGTAGTTTTTGTTTTTGAGAAACTCAATGTGTATGCGTTTATATTTTTTAACAGCATATAACTATTTATGTTCTATTATCTCCTCCCAACTTATTTTTATACTCTATATTATTAGTTCTTTATCTCTCTCCACTTATCAACCACTGGGTTATAAGTTAATTTTTTATGTTATTTAAATTATTATAATTAACTCAGTTCTATGCATATAAATTTATTACATATAAAGTTAATCATGTTAAACACAAAAAATATAAATGTTTCTGTATTTTAGTTAACATATATTGTAATGCATTATTTTAATGTGACATTCAATCAAATATTTGAGGAATGTATTTGTTATAATTCAAAATATATGATGTAATTTTCTAATTTTCTGTCTCTCTGACTTAGATAAATAAATTTATGTATGCCACTGTTTAATGTACCCCTTTGTGGCTGTGATGTTTATATAATTACTCTAAAACAATATTTCACTTATATTACAATAATAGCCTTGATGATTAATTTTTTCTACAGTATATATTTTCATTATTATAATCATTAAATAAATGTTTATTAATTAAAATGTTTAAATAGAAAATTGTATTGGGTTTTTTTAATATTATTAATGTTTGTCAGTTGTAGCTAAGATGAGTAATAATAATTAACACAATAATATGTGATAATTTCTTACTCTAGGTATAGTTTTTAATTTTTTACCTGTTTGTTAAAAATACCTAATGCTCTTTGTGACCCAAAGTACTTTGAATTTATAAATTATTATATTTTTTTCTTTTTGTTACACAATATATATATATATATATATATATATATATATATATATATATGTATATTAATAAAACTTACATGATGTTTTTCTGAAATTGTGTCATTTTATTTCCTTAACATTTTTAGATAGATTAAATGAGGAATTTTGTATTGTGACCATAGTTTATGTAATGTATCCGATGAATTATTATCAGAGTTATATTCAATGTATGAAAAGTTAATGTGGATCAATAAAGTACAATTTTTTTCTTTCTATATTTCTATAGAAATGTTAAAAAAAATGATTATAGTTATTGGATTATAATATTTATAATACAAAAAAAAAAAGGAAACCCCACTTAGCAAACATGCTATATTCCCGATTTTTATACTTATTTTGGACATTTAATTATAGTACCATAAACAATTTAAAAAGAGCTTTTGAACTCCAAATGACTATCACTTGTGAATAATAACTAGATTTTTTTTAAATATTAGCTAGTATAAATCTATATTGAATAATATTTTTAAAACTGGCTAGTATAATTATACATTAATTTCCAGTACATGGTTTATTTTAAATATATGCTATTTATTTATCTTAATTTATAGTAAATACCTTATTATTAATAATTGTAACATCATATTAGTAACTAATGGATGTATCAAAATGGATACATAGTGTTGTCGCGTCCTGCATAGTCACACAACATTTACATAATAAGGAAGTTCCTGTGAATACGACCGTGGATAAGACACATATTCTATTACAATTATTTAGTTAATCAAAACCACACACGTGGATAAGTTAAATTATTCACATGGTTATTTATACAGCTAATTCTAATAAAAAATGACAACAAAATAGTGGTGACCACATCCTGGATCTTTGCGTCATTAAATATGGGCTCGTCGAGAGATAGTTCACAAATACAGAATTCACAAGAAATTATCATATTTTTTATTATCATTTTCATATACAAACACACACTTGCATATATCGGATATAAAAGGTTAGTATCGAACGACTGCCGGAACGTATATCTATTATCTAAATACTAACCATAGATAACATATTTCGTTATTTTGTTTTTTTATGTCGTAAAAGTTATTAATAATCGCTCGTGGGTCGTTCGATCGCACGGCACAGTGGCGGCGCGAAATATTTTACTTCATGAGTTCTGTTAGGATTTTACCCACCCACCCAAAAATAAATTTAAGGGTAGCTTGTAATAAGAGCTCCCCCACTATTCGTTCTACATGCTACATACCCACTCAATACCCAATGGTCAATACCTACCCACCTACCCACCCACTGACTTGAGTCCAAGGACTCAAAAATCTGCCGTCACGCCACCACTGGCACGGCGTACACACTGCACGGACAATACATACATAATATAATATGATATATTTTATATGAATACGGGTAACAATCGGTTCGTATTAGAACGATAGTCTAATTATAAACCAGTCACTGTGAATATTTGTATATAATATATTCGTACGTACTACGTATTATGTGTACAAAAATAAAACTTTTTCTATCCGAAAGATAAAATTATTATAATAATTGTTTATTTTTCTTCGTGACTATGAAATAGGGGGCGGCTGAGTAGAGAATAGGTTTATTCTGATTAGACATCCGATTATTTCCAACACAACATTCAAGGCGGATAACTTAATATTCACGTATTAGTATATTGCTTAAATTACTGGTGAGTAAACACTATAATAATATTATAGCGATAAATTAGTGCTATAGGCTTGCAAAATTGACTTTTATTTTTATGAATATTCGTATGCATTAGTTCTTATTTGGAATTCCAAATTCTTGATTAATTAATTTTTACAAGCCCATTAAATAAAACATCTGACGATTTTTTATTTCCTACACGGTGTGTTATAGGTAAATATTTTCATCGTTAAAATTTGATTTTTATCGGTATAAAAATGCATAGAAAGAGATTGAGCGGAACACAATATAAAAAAGCAGAAAGAGAAAAAAAAGCTATTAGTCAAACCATAAAACTGGATAAATTTTTATTTGTTAAAAATATTGACGATGCAAATCAAACAAATGTGAATTTGAGACATTCGAGTAGTTCTGTATTAGATCAAAGCAATAACGTAATACCTACTGATAGTGTGGAAATAATAAATAAGATAACCATGTCATTCTGAATCTGATACTCCCAATTTAACGATAGAAGACATTATTCACGAAACAATTAGCACTCCTGAATCATGTAATATTCTTGAATCATCTTTTTCTTTTAATAAAGATCCGGCATTTTAGACTCAACGAACAAGCACGTGATTATTTTTCTATAAATGGTTTTGATGTTAATATATACAAAAATTGTGATTTTATAAATTCTAAATTAGAATCTAGATGTATGACCAAAAATATGTTTGAACGTTTATTACCAAATGGTGAAAAAATCGAGAGGTTTTAGTTAGTCTACTCTGAAAGTACAGGTAAAGCATTTTGTGAACCATATTTTTTTTTCAAGTCGTAACGATGAATCCTATTTATCAACGCAACGTTTTAATGATTGGAAAAACGCACAATCTCGTTTTAAGCAACACGAATGTTCTACAAATCATGAACAATCCCTTATAACAATGAAAACTAGGGCAAATCTTAGTAATCGTATTGATAAAAAGCTCTTTTCACAACTTGAAGATGAAATATTTTACTGGAAAAATATTTTACGAAGAATTGTAGCCGTTATAAAATCATTATCATCGCATGGTCTTCCATTTAGAGGTAAAAATGAAGTTATTGGTTCAGTCTACAATGGACATTTTTTAATGGCAATTGAGCTTGTAGCACAATTTGATCCATTTTTAGCTTAACATATTTCACGATATGGAAATCCGGGCAGTGGTCATACATCGTAATTATCATCCACAATTTATGAAGATATTATGAAACTTATGGCGAATAAAATAATCCATACAATTGTTGATCAGATTAAAAAATGCAAATACTTTTCATTGATTATTGATTCCATACTTTGTTGCTTACACAATTTAACTATGTTAAATACATATAGATCAACTGTCTTTTATTGTACAATATGTGTATGAAGGTATTCCTGTTGAGCGTTTCGTTCAATTTATACCTAGCTGTGAACATAAAGCTAACGATATGAAAAAAGCCGTTTTAAACACGTTGGAAAGCCTTGATATTAGTATAAATGATTGCAGAGGCCAGGCTTACGATAGTGATAATAATATGTCTGAACGTTATAACGGATTACAAAAATAAAATAATTAAATCTCCTTGTTGTATATATACTATGTGCGGCGCATTCATTAAATTTAGTTGGTACTCGTGCTGTGCAATATTCTAATAAGGCTGCTCAATTTTTTCTTCATGTTCAACATCTTTATACATTTTTTTCCGGATCTACTCACAGTTGAAAAGTTTTAATGTTTAATTTAAAGTCTAAATCAAAAACACTAAAACGTCTTTCAGGAACTCGATGGTCATCAAGAGATGATGCTTGTGTGCGTTTAAATAATTCGTGGGATGAGATATTAAAAACTTTAAGTTTACTTGAAAATGACTATAGTGAACTAGCTGAAACTCGAAACGAAGCCTCTGGATTGCGTAAGCAGTTTTAAAAACTCGAGACAACGTTTATGGCTATATTTTGGGGATTTATATTAAACAGATTAAATGTTGTAAGTAAAAAACTTCAAAGTGTTGAAATAGATATTACAGTAGTTTTGGAGTTGTATGATTCACTAATAAATTTAATATTATCTCAGAGAGATAATTTTAATGAATTTGAAAAAAGGCAATTTTATGAGCTCAAATCAAAGAATATGAAACAACAATTTGAAGAAAATAGAAAAGAACAATCCCATATGATGAATTAAGACAAGATTGTTAGTTCGCAGGATTATTATGCATATCGATTGATGATTGGATGCGATTAGGACAGCGTTATTCTACGATGTAGTGAGTTTTGTCAAAAATTTATGGTCGACATGTATGAAAAGATAGAAAGCGAACGGTTATGATACTTGCGATTCAATTAAAAAAAGCTGCGTGCAGAAGATTCTCAAAACAATTGTTAGATATCCGTGATGAGAAAGTTACTACAGATATAATTTTATATAATTTTAAAGGATCAATTTTAATAAATTATTAAAAAAATTAGTATTTGAAGTTTTTTCATTTTTATATTTCGTCACCGTTCACAGCACTCCATACCTCCTCTTCCATTTATATACCACATCCTTACACACCTATATTAAATTAGTTATTTTTTTCTAGCAAAATATTATCTAGAAATAATTTATATGACAAAACAACGTTTGTCGGGTCAGCTAGTTTAATAATAAAATTAAAAAACCATGCTAATATCAGTACACTATGTACATATGTAAATAGATAGTTTGGATGCTATAATTTGTTTCGACCGAAATACAAAAATACTGTAAATTATATATGTTGGTATTATAACAATAATTTACAACTGAACATAAAATGACAAAATAATAATAATGTGATTGTTTAGAATATTAGAATAGAGCAGTAACAGTAACAACTGACAAGGATCAGATTAAGATTACTAAGAATCTGTATCACAGAATAATTATTATTAATGATGCTATTACTGTTATTTATCAAGCTGTTACTTTTAGGCCCGGCGCACATTGAGACGTAGGCGACGCAGCGTAGTTTTCTGTAATCTATTAGTTAGAATGTACTAGAGCATATTGGGAGGCGGGGCAGGGCCGAGCAATGCTGTATCTGTGTCGACCTGCAACACGCAGTGTCCGCGACACATTACTGCGCACATGACACACGCGCCGGCTGAACATAATTTCCACCTTTTTAAATTCAATTCAATATTTTATTTTTTATTTTAATTTTATTGCGGAAGAGTTTGTAATTGAAGCCATTAGACATTAAGTTGTCTTACATGTCAACTATATGAAGACAAAATTAAAAAATTACTTTTTCACAATTTTTTTACGTGTAGTTAACGAATATAATAAAAGTTCATCAAATTTATCCGTCAGAAACTGATTCAAAATTATTAAATGTATTAAATATTCTGCTATAATTTCACTCATGACTAAGTGAACGGTGACACAGAACTGTGTATTAATATGCGCTCACATAACTCATACAGTATGTAACTCAGTGGCGTATTTTTAATTTTTTCTGGGGGGGGGTCCACAGTTTATACATAATTAATATAAACTATATATTATATTGTAATAGTTACGTCCTTATGCAGTTTTTGGAGGAAGTTGAACTAAATATATAATGTAATAATCGTAGTCTTGTGTAATATTATATATATGTACCTATATATTGTATTTAGCATTATATATTATAAAGTATTGTTATAAAATAAATTCTAGTTGTCTCGATTTTTTGGCCAACTCCTCTATCACTTCAACAGTAATTTAAACTTCCCTGTGAATGTTTAACATAGCCAATTCTGCAAATATGTAAGAATTGTTGTAAATTTTTTATTTTTTGGAGAGGTTCTGGGGGGGTCCAGTACCCCTGGACCCCCCACCTCCGTAAATACGCCACTGCAGTATTTCCTGCGCTGTGCTGCGTCGCCTGTATTTCAATGCGTGCCTGGCCTAACAATGGTCAGTAAGAACTATCGTGTTAAAAATAAATTTTTACAAAAATTATTATTCATCCAGGTAACTGACTGTTATTGCTACTCGAGTCATAACTGTTATTAATCACTGTTGGTACTGTTATTTTTCCCTATCACTAATGTATTCTTCATCTATAAAATTTAATTATAAGACTTGATTGGAGTTTTTTAGAAATGTAATACCTAAGATATTTATTGTCAGTTAATTAAATTTTTTTTAGACTGGTAATCTGAGCAGGTTTTATTTTGGGAGGTTTTGAAAAATGTTTTCCCTTGGAATATTTTTTATAACATAGTAGTCAGTAATTGATAATGAATTAAGATAATATATATATATTATAGTAAGTAATATAATATATTAATTTAAATCTAATACTACTAATTTCTTTTATGAATAAAAATACAAATTATATACTTTTCCTCATACCTTTAAAAAAAAAAATCTTTTTCTTAATTCATAAAATTATTGATTTTTAATATATATTCTTCCTGATTTGGGGGGTTAATCCCCCCCCCCGTGGATCTACCCCTTATTGTGAGTATATAATTCAACATCTGGTTTAAAAAGGCATAGGGCCGGATTATTGATTGAAAATCCAAACAATAATTGAAATATTAATACAAAATTAAAAACTTTGTTAAAAAAAATGTATAGCACTCAACATTTGAATAATATTGAACTAGAAAAATATACACAATTTTACGTTATATAATAGGTGTCATCCAAAAACTTGAGCGCATAAATAGTGACTTGTGTTCTCGGCCATTATTTAATTAAAAACATGATATATGGTATTAAAACAACTAAGTCTACTACTACATGTCTTATATTAATAATACTATATTAAAAATATTAACAAATTTATACTAATTGTAGTCTTCGATCGTTTTAGGTTGATTCTGCACTAAATTTATCAATAATTTTATCAATATTTTTTGGATACATCTTTACAATATTTGAAATAGCTATGTTAGTTAGTCTTTATTGATCAATAATATTTCTAGTGAATGTTTTGAGATGAAAAAAAACTGCTAACTAAAAGATAAGCCAATATCGAAAATTGAGATTGAAAAAAAAAAAACTGTCTAGTAGTAGCTATAACCAGCTGTTTATTTTAAAAGAAAGTATGTTAAATATCAGAGGAGGCAATGTCCCTCCTAATTTAATTAAGGGGTAATGGCTTCCCTAGTTTACACTTATGGTACAGTCAGTATTCAGTACAATGGTCTTGTTTATTCATGATATAGCATTATAGCCAACACGTTACAACTTTTTTGTTAATTTATGCAAGTTGTTGCAAGTTCTATTTTTTTTCTTTTTTTAATACCAAAGAGGAGAAAAATGTTCACAGAGGTTAGACGCAGTAGATAAAAAAGAAAGGTGGGTTTTAATTAGATATTTTGTATCATTAAGTTCCATTTGTGCATGTTAGAATAATGTATTTATAGTACATAACAGTAGTTCTTATAATTATAAACAAATAATTTTAAATAGGACATTATCATTATGATGATATACATTCAGTAAACATACTCGGAAACCAGTAAGATATTTCGCAGTCATTTTGACCATCCACCCAACATAAACCTTCGGCTACCATTTGATTAATAGCATTGGCAGCCCTTGTTGCTTCCCAATTGAGCTGATCTTTAAGAGATGAAAAAGTAATGTATGCATTGCCAGAAGAAGACAACAATTTTAGTACAGCAGTCTGATCCATACTCAGTTCTCCTGGAACGGACTGTACCATATATTGGCCTTTACCAACAGGTATCATACAGAAACCATTGCCAAATATTTTTAGCTTCTTAGCAGCACTTAACAAGTCATCCAATGTGATCTCTTGATGTTGTACATTACGTCCTCTGGCTTTAATCTGTAGTCGTACAAACAATTGGTTTTTAGTAAGTACAACAAATTTAAAGAATAAAATTAAAATAAATTTACTAAACGATCTCTAAGCTCATCCAATCCAATGATACCACCATTCTTGTAACTAGTTGCCATGCAAACTTCAACAATTTGAACCGCTAGTTCATAGTAAAAATCACCTATCCCAAGAACGGACCAAAAACCTTTTCCAGAAGATAAAGGATCAACACCAATGGATGCACACATTTCTTGAAATTGTCGTCTAAACTGTGAATTTTTTTTGATTTCATTTTTGTACTTGGTAGCAAATTCTTCCAAATTAGCACGGAACACCTCCAATTGTTTGGTCATTTGTTCAAATTGATTTTCTTGGATTACTGTTCCTTTGTCCTTATACTTTTCTTGTTCCAATTTTTGTTTTTGAATAGCACCGACACCAGCTCGTCGTCTCATCTTTTATACAATTATTGCACCTATAAAAATGCAATATTAAATAAAACCAGTAAAATCAGTGTAGAGCTTGCTAATTGTTAAAAGTAATTAATTAAGGTATATCAGGCAATAAAAAATATAAGTTTTATAGATGAAAATTATGCTACCAAACTCAAAGCATAAGTGAAACATAGTAAGTGAATCAATTAATTAATTGATAATTAATTACATTTATAGCTAGAGCTGTAAAAAATTTAAAATGTAATAGTAAAAGGAAAAACAAGAATTGTCATAAATGAAATTTCAATACTAACACCTTGTTCATAACAAAATAGATGTGCACATACGAGTTTGGGAAGTGTCAAACTAGTTCCAGATTAGTATCAATCAATGTTGAAAAAGAAACAAAGTAATTAAAGAATAATAACACGTAGTACTTACTATAATGTATTAGAACATTGATTTTGAAGAAAACAATGGAGCTGTTGAATAATAGTGAATAGGCACGGTAAATGAAAAATCCACCAACGTTTATGCTTTACAACGTAACAGGACGGACGAAACTCCCAAAAATAAGAGTGAAAAATTCACAGTTATTATTCATTTACCCCTACAACAATATTATTTTCGAGTGATAAGCACTTATTCGATAAATGATAAGGACCGAAGAAATGATAAGTTCGAAACTCGGAAAAACAGTACCAACTGACTGAATCAAAAATTACCATATCCAATTATATAATTACTTATGGTTATAAAAAGTTGAATTTATTAACTATTTTCTGCTAACCTCTGATTTTGGTCGTACTCGGTTACAAATTTTTTCAGGATACTACCGGTTTTAATCCATTTTGACTTCCTGATACCATAGACGCAACTAGGGTAAAAAATCTGGAGGGGCCACAGTCCTCCTACCAAAACTTGAAATAACCTGTAGATTATCCTACTCTTATATACCATGTTAATATATTTTAGATTCTGAAATAAGTTGGATTTACTGCAATGTGTCTTTTTTTGTATGTGACACTATTGTGAGTTAAGTATGCTGTATTCCATGTATAACATGGAATATTTATGGGGGGCTAAATCTTGGTCCGGGGGCTAAGCCCATGGGCGCCGATTACTGAGGTGCCGTGGTGCTCAAGCACCCCATGACCTATTCCACGGGATGCAGAGCACCACACGAAATAAAAAAATAACAATATGAAATTACGTAATATTATTTCCACGATCACACGATAGAAATTATTTTTGGAGGTTTTAATATTAACCTATTACGTGTGGCCGCGTGGGCTAAAAATACATATCGATATTGCTTGAAATTCCTGTATCAGTATCCGAAAAATGCGTATCTAATGCACTGAGTCAGTGGCGTAGCTAGGATTTTCTGAAGGGGGGTGTTAATTATAATTATTAAATATTATATATAATATGTACAAACTAAAACTTTTATTTTAATAAATTAATATGTATACATAATGTCTGTAATAGAGATGTAATGTATATTCGAATTCGGATAGCTTTACCTTAAATTGTTCGAATATTTGGCTATTCGAATATCAGTATTCGATGCTACAATACCTATTATTAAACGTTTTGTGTTGCACAAAAACGTAAACGAATAATTTTCGTCACGTATTGTTGCAATCGCGATGTTAACCTGTATATATGTAATTAGTATTGTGCATTATTTTATATTTCATATTGTATTATCGATTTACCTATATTCCTATAATAATGTAATATATGATACGGCTCAAGGTGTCATATCTACTAAACACCCCCCTTGTATACGCCACTGCACTGAGTACCAATCTTTTCTGTTTCTAAGATTTCGTGGTTCAGTATTTCTATTATAGTCGTAACTGGTAATTTGTGTCAATTAACCATCGACCATTTGATATCGAAGCACTTTGCAGTGATTATAATTTATAATAGCATAGTTTTGTGTATTCTTAATATTTAAAATGAAAAAGTGGTTAGTAAAAAAATCGATTAAAACCACAGAACAGTCTACTGACGCGAATAACAGATCTAACTCTTTGAATGTTGAATCGAAAAGTGAAATTTCTCAAAAAAAAAGGATGTTTCAAGAAAAATGGTTAAAATTATATCCGTGGTTATCATATGATCGCGTGAATGAAAAATCATTTTGTTCAAAATGTTCAAATAATGTAGAAAATAAAGTTGATTCTTCCTGCATCTTCTGTGCCTGATGTAAATTCTAAAAACGCATTTGTAGTTGAAGGATTTTCTGTGTGGAATAAAGCTTTGGAACGATTCAAATGCCATGAAGGTAAATATTTAATAACATTATTCAGCTATTCCAGAGTAGAGCTTGATTTTTATCAATTTTTGTCTTAAGTTATTTCAGTAGTCAGTTATTTCTTTCGGCTAAATTTTTCTAAATTTTAAGTTTTGTCATTTTTTTCATAATTTTTCAATTCTTATCAATTTTTCAATTTTTCATAATTTTTAAATTTTCATAACTTTTTCAACTTTTCATAAATTTTAAGTTTTGTCAATTTTTATAAATTTTTACAATCTTTTATAAATTTAAAAATTTTCATAAATTTTTCAATTCTTATAAATTTT